TTTCACAGAGTTGCTTGGAGTGTTTTTTTCTGTCTTCCTGCTGTAGTTATATCCAGAGGTACTGATTCACCAGGACCTGTCTTTACACTACAATCACTTGATTCACTCCCATGACCTACATTTCAGTCATTGTGTGACTTCCAGCACCAACTGGCTGCTGCACCTTTGGTGAATTATTTGGGCCACTATAAAGGCGTAAATACTTCTGCAATTGCTTAAATTGCATTTTATGGTTGTAGTTAATTGACATTAGTTTTCTTGTGAATGATTGTTTTGACACTGATTCGGTGTCGAAATGCAATAAAAGGGGACAAATTAAGCACTTTCGTAGGCACTGTATATAATAAAGGTTTATATTTACATCTGAACCGCGGACAAGTTTGCAGTGTCACACTTAAGCGAGCGGGATTGCAATCAGTGAAGTGTTTGAGGTTTCACATTTCTGACACCCGACTCATCCCGCGCTCTTTGTTGTGCACACACACATCTCGCACTAATTAAAATAAATCTTCGATTCTCTTCCCCCCTTCACTCACACACACACACACACACACCGAACGCTGTCAGCCTCTTCAGACCTGTGGCCTGTGTCCAGATCTGCAGTGTTTGCAAGCCAGTACCTCCTGCCATTTCAGCCCAATTAGCAGCTCCCCTCCCTGGGCAGAGACGAGTGGAAAAAAAAGGGGGCCCCTCCCTCCAGCCTCATATCGGTGACTCTGGTGTTATGACAGCCTCTGACACTAGCCCTGTGTAATTACTGCTGTCTGAAGGAGCGAGACAGTATGGGGCGAGGGAGAGGGAAGGGGAGGAGGAAGAAGGTAAATGAAGGAGCACAATGGAAGGAGAGGAACCGAGGAAGAGGAAGAGGAAGAGGAGGAGGAGACGGGAATCAGCCGAGAAAAGAAAAAGGGGGAAGTGAAGGAGTCGGAGGGAAGAAAAAGAGCAGACGGCTGGCAGACTACCCCCTGTTGTGTTTGTTTTTACATGCGCGGTGTGTGTGTGTGTGTGTGTGTGAGCGAGTGTGAGTGAGCTGATAGCTGATGACAGTATCTTGTACCGGCAGAGTGGAGTCATGCTGCCATCATTGTTGCCGCTCAGCCAGAGCCGCAAAATTACTCTGATAGAAGCTGTACAAATAATTCTCCTCAAGGTGATCCCGCGAAGGATAATCAAGGAGGAGGAATCCGGAGCCGCGGGCTGTGTTATATACGCGGCCATTCTGACAATTTATGTTCTGTTGAATTCGGAGCATTTGGTGCCGTTGTGTAGCATGTGCAGCCTGGTGGATAGTCTCTCACACACTTCCAGGGATGAGGTTTGTCTCGTTCGCCTTAAATTCCTTGAACACGAGGTGCACCTGAATGCAGATTTAGCCGGACACAGTACCCATCAGCCAGCTTTATTATGATTACTATTTTTGCATCTGAAGCATTATTCTCTGCTCTATTCTTGGATGCAGAATCGGTCGCGTTGCACGATGATGCAGCACCACCACCCTGCTGTTCATCAGCGTCCTCCTGCTACGGAAAACCCTAAACATTGCAGCCTGAAATACTGAGATCTGTTTGCCCCGTCACAAACTTGAACTGCTACATATATTCTGCAAAACAGACGCCATCAACATACTGAGAGTTAAAGGTCGGCCCTCGACATACCGGCTTCCTCCGGAGCTCTTGACCACGTCTCATAGTCATCCGCTGGAGTTTGCTCACTTCTATCCACTACCGTCTTGTTTATTTTTCGGTTCGGTGTTAAGTTTCTCTGCACGTTTGTGCTACTTCTAATTTTTTTTTTGTCACATTTTCGTGCCAGCGATGAATACAAATTTCACACATACATTCTAAGATATTCGCTGAAATCCAAACAAAACAAACAAACAAACAAAAACATTAACGCCCACTTGACAAAATGATTGCTCCCATGGCCCCACTACCAACATCCAGGAAATGCTTACAATTGATTGTATGAGTCATCAACCGCACAATAGAGTCGCTCGCATAAAAGCGCTGTTTTTGAAACAGATTTCCCCGAGAGAGATAAATTTGACATTTAATTCAAAGCGGCTACAATATAATCCAACAAAATGATGTTTTCTGACACGCTGAAAGTTAAATTTTATAGCCGCAGCACCTGCGGTGTTGCATATGAACACCTTTCCGAGCTATGATTAGCTTTTGAAGCACGCTCTGTCAAGTTTAGGAGGTAATATTTCTTCTTTTATAAACTGTTGCTGTTCAGTTATGGCTGTTCACAAGAGAACTGTGAAGACGATTCATTCAGCAGAATGCATCAGGTTGTTGTCCAGGATATGTTGCTGCATTCACGTCATCCTCTACCTTTACAAGCTCTCCAGGGCTTAAACTTCCCCATCACATGATGCTGCCACCTCCATGCTGCACAGTCTATCTGTGAGGATGTGCAGTGTTTGGTTTCTGTCATGCATAGCGTCTAGTCTGATGGTCAAAAAGTTCAATTTTACTCGCATCAGACCAAAGAACCTTCTTCCATTTGACTTCATGATCTACTGCATGCCTTGTAGTGAACTCTAGTCGAGCTTTATGAGGTTTTTGTTCAATTGTCGCTTTCCAGACTGCATCAGGTTGTTGTCCAGGATTTGTTGCTGCATTCACTTCATCCTCGACCTTTACAAGCTCTCCAGGGCCTCACAACATGATGCTGCCACCTCCATGCTGCACAGTGTTTGGTTTCTGTCATGGATAGTGTCTAGTCTGATGGTCAAAAAGTTCAATTTTAGCGTCATAAGACCAAAGAACCTTCTTCCATTTGACTTCATGATCTACCGCGTGCCTTGTGCTGAACTCTAGTCGAGACTCATTATAAGCTTTTTGTTCATTTGTGGCTTTCTTGTGAATTTAAGGAGGTAATTATTCTTTTTATAAACCATTGCTGTTCAGTTATGGCTGTTTGCTGAATGAATTGTCACAGTTCTCGTACAGATTGCATCACATTGTTGTCCAGGATGTGTTGCTGCCTTGACTTTATCCTTTACCTTTACAAGCCCTCTAAAATCTAAAGCATCCTCACGACATGATGCTGCCACCTCCGTGCTTCACAGTGTATCTGTGATGATGTGCAGCGTTTGGTTTCTGTCATGCATAGCATCCAGACAGAGGGTCAAACAGTTGCATCAGACCAAAGAACCTTCTTCCATTTGTCTACCACGTGCCTTGTGCTGAACTCTAGTTGTAGATTTATTTGGAGCTTTTTGTTCATTTATGGCTTTCTTGTGAATTTAAGGAGGTACAGTTTTTCTACAGTTTTCAGTTGTTCAGCTCTTTCCTGTATTTAACTAGCGAGCTGTAACCGTTAGCTGGCTAACAGTATTCAACATGCGCGGAGGCTTTTTCCATTTTTTTGATTCTTCTTTTAAATTAGCCTCGCCAGTCAAAGCAGTAATCAAAGCCAGCTTTTATAGGGTTTTCGCTGAAGTCGAACCTTTCCTCTCCTTGTGAAGGTCAGCTGTGCTTTTATTGCTTCTAGATGTGGACTGGCACTTACCGCTGACCAGGCTTTCACAGTGGCTTCCACACTTTGGAGCATCCCCCTGATGTACCAGACGCTTTGATTTGCCCGATGCTCTGCGGTACTTTCGTCGGAAGTTTTTGCTGCGTTCAAACGTAAATAAACTGACCTGACCTTTCTTGGCATTATGTCACGCTTCCCCTCTCTCCTATTCAGCCTTCTCCCTTCTTGTGTTTTTTTGTAAGAACTTCTTTTTCCTTTTTTTAAAAAAATAAAGCAGTGCAATTACTCTTATTTGTAGCAGCAGTGTCTTGATAAGGCAGTCGTGTATCGCCGAGACTGAAAATAGAAAGGGTGAAGTGGAGCATATCTGCACAAAAGAGAAAAATGACTGAGGGTGAGAGGGAGAGAAAAAAAAAAAAATAGAGATAATCAGAGTGAATCACATCAGCTTCATCTGCAATTACCTGCTGTTGCTATGTTACGACTAAACAAAATCACTGCCTCCCATTAGCCGTAATCACTCCCATATGCGCCGTAATGCTATGGATGGCTATTGTGGAACCCAGAACAAAATAATTGAAGTTCAAAGGGGATGAAGGAAAAAAAGGCTGATTTACTTTTGGCGACAGGCACTTTGACAGCGATGGCGAGTGAGGGGAATAGATGTCGGCTGAAATGTAAGGGAAGAGAACTAATCTTACGTAGGTTTTTTTTAAATGAGATGGCGATTCAGAAGATTCAGTTTTTTGGCCGTAGTACCTTATATCCAGCTGCGTTTACTGTACGATTCGTATAACTGTTTTAACTTGTGCTGGTCAAAGCTCTGAATGCTTCTTTTATTGAATGTGCAATTTTAAATCCTGTTGACGCTCTGGTTGGATTTAAAGCAGAGTGAAACATATTTTTGCAGTTTTTGAGAGCCTCTTTTTTTATTTTATTTTCTGGCTTAACCAGTCACTGGAAAGCGACAGTAAATGATTGGATCTTTAAAAGTAAACATAATGAAAATTAAAGCGATTCTGTCACTGTTCATTTGGCAGTAATGGAACTAGCGTTTGTCCCATCGCCCCGACTCATCCAAATAATATTTGTAGATGTTTATTACCGCTACGTCTTTGCTTCTGTCGGACCCGTTCGGCTCATTTGAATGGAGCCCAAATGAACTGAAGTGAAAAAGCTTTTCCCGACGAAGCAGCCGAATGAAACTGCTCTGAACCAAACCGTTTGCGTCGTCTGAATGTTGCACATAGAACCATTCGGTGGGAGTTCAGGACTGTAGGATGGCAGATAGGGAAGTTTTTTGGTGGTCGAGGACTTTCCTTAGTTAAGGTAAGACAAAGACCGTAACAGAAACCAACACGTTTCGGTGTCATTTTAGCAAGTCCACCTGTTATGGTCCTCGTGTGGACAGCCCCGCACCCTCGGGCCCCGGTTAGCTCCCCACCCAGTCAGCTAGCTGTTCCCATCTGTGGGTAAATGTAACTTTAGGCCTGTTGTATTTTTTGTGCTATCTGACCCCACAGACGATCACACCAGAGTCCGACTGCAGCTGCTGGACGGAGACCCCCACTCGGACTACATCAACGCCAATTACATCGACGTAAGTGCACGTGCAGATTTGCAATTTTATGCTTGGACTAAACTTTAACCCAAAGTCTTTACCCTGCATTTAAAGGGCTGAGGAGCAGAAAAATATGAAAACAACTAATATTTGCTAAGACGAAAATCATCCAGACACACGAGTGCGGTGAAAACACACTTGCCGGTGTCAGGGACGGGCACAATAACTCAACAGCAAAACGCTCCTTCAAGCAAAGCACTAAATCCCAACCTCGCTGCTCCCTGACAGCTGCTTTGAAAAGGTCTTTGACGGAATAAACATGCAAAAACACACACATAAATTTAAATACGATGGCAACTACCTAATCTATATACAATGTTCCCGGGTAAATCTTGCGAACATAAGATCAAACGAGTCGGCCTCGGTGTGTAAACAGATGCACTCTGTTGCTCTGAAACGTCTCGCGCAGACGCTTGAACCTGCACTCAGATGCATAAACATTAGAATTAGCTAATTTTCTCAAACTGAAACACATGCACGAGTGCATAAATACAAAGATCAGTGTAAGTAAAGCCATCTGAATCTCACGTCTTTCGGAAAAACAAACTATAATGCTGGTGAAGTCGTAACCTTTTGCTTAAATTCCAGATTCATTCCATCACCGTTAGCCTCATTTGTTTCCCTTTCCTCACCTATCCATCCCTATTTATTTCGTCTTCCTCGCCCCTCTGCCCGGCAGGAATCATGCTCTTTGATTTAATCTCTCGCTCGCAGCTTACTGTTGTAATGATGGTTTTAATGAATTTGGTACAAAATGCTTATTTTCAATCTGTCTCCACAGACTGGATTTTTTTTTTTTTCTTAAGAGGAAAAAAAATAAGAGAGGAGAGGAGGGGGATCGGCAAATTAAAATGACAACAACACATCCCCTCAGTGAGGATAATGCCGTGCTTACAGAGTGATCTTAATGGCAATATGAAAGTGATAAATGTTTTCATTTCAACAAGGTTATCTGTCTTATAGGGAATTGTGGGGAGGGACAAAAGGGGGATAATCGCTGAATGGAGACACGTCGCTTTTCTTGCGTCCCGTGGAGGCGAAAATCAAAATCCTATTTTTTAATTTGATGTTTATTTGGAAATCGACCTTGAGTTATTCTTCTGGGAGGAGTGGAGAGTTTGGAGACAGAGGAAATTAAAAGAGAAAATAATAATAATTTTTTTTTAAAAAGTACTGAAGAGAGCAGGAAGAAGGAGAGAAGCTGACAGATGGATGGGAAGAATGAGATGAAGATAAAGAAAAAGAAAGAGAACCAGAAATCGATTCCAGCGACGTAAGGGAGAGGAATTTCTTTTTTTTGCAGAAAAGGGGCGGAGTTTCAAAAAGAAAAGAAGAAGAAGAAGTGATGAAAGAGGGGAGGAAAAGATGGATTAACGAGGCAGAGAGGCAAACAGAAATCAGAGTAAAACAGGAAGCAGGAGGAAACGAGGGAAAGGAGATAAATCGTGTAATAATGAAGGGAAGTTCTGAGCAGCTGATGGAGGGACTGGAGGTGTTTTATGTGGCTGACGGGACTCGTTGTCATGCGTGTCGTTTATGAATTGCACTTTTGTTATTCCACCTATCGAGGGAGACAGAGAAGGAAGGAAAAAAGGAAGGAAAGCAAGGGAAGTAGGACGCTAGAAAGAGAGACAAAGAGGATTCCAGACACAAAGAGAGCGAACACGAGATAGGATGGAGATGACTAAAGTGTGCAGATATTTATGCTTTTTCTTTTCTGTCTCACAGGGGTACCATAGACCCAGACATTACATCGCCACACAAGGTAATTAAACTGACGTGATAAGTGTGTGTGTGAAGCTCGTGTGTGTGTGTGTGTGTGTGTGTGTGTAGCAGCCACCTGGTAAATGTCGTCCTTTTGGACTGGAAGGCTATTACCACAACCTCCTAAATCTAAACTGCCGTATAAAATCCCCCTGACAAATTTAAGACCCCATTACCTCAAACCCCCAAACTACTATCTGGGATTGATGGCGTGTGAGCACATGTGTGTGTGTGTGTGTGTTTCCCCTGTTCGTATGTTTTTGTGCGTTTGTGTGACATTTTTACGTGACACCGGAACGAGCGCGCGCACGTATACGCACGCCTACGTCCATATGCTGACTTTGCGAGCATCAAAATGTTTGCATTGGTGATTTATCTCCGTGTGTGTGTGTGTGTGTGTGTTTTAAGGGCCCATGCAGGAGACGGTCCGGGATTTTTGGAGGATGGTCTGGCAGGAGAACTCGGCCTCCATCGTCATGGTTACGAACCTGGTGGAGGTGGGAAGGGTGAGTTTGTCATCGAAGCACTTGCAAGATGTGTGTGTGTAGTGAAGACGCCCAAGACCTGTGAAGCTATTCTTTGATTGTGTTGTCTCCTCTGTGGGCCTTTTTGTGAATTCAAATTCCAGTTTTGTCCCCAAACGTCCAGTTACTTATAGTACACATATGTCATAGTCCATCCGATCAAGCCCACAGCCCAGACCAGCCCAGACCACTACTATATGGGGATATCCCGATCACCCTAATCCAGGGGTGTCCAATCCTGGTCCTCGAGGTGCCACAGTCCTGCATGTTTTAGATGTTTCCCTCTTCCAAATGATCAGGATGGTTATGAAGAGCTTGATGATGAGCTGATCATGTGAATCAGGTGTGTTGGAAGAAGGAAACATCTAGAACATGCAGGACTGTGGCACCTCGAGGACCAGGACTGGACACCCCTGTCCTAATCCAATTCGAGACATTGGATGTTTATTATCTACCGATACTTGCTGCCATTTTCGTAGATAATGCACACTTAGAGTTTTGTAGATTAGATGGAGGACCTGGTTGGGCCACCAGGTCGGGCGTCTTATTGGTCAGCAGTAGTGGGAGTTTAGCTTGTCATAGCGTACCGTGACAAAGACCTCTACGAGGCTTACTGACGTCACCCCAGTGAACAATTGTTATCTTATCTCTGGATAAACTAAGGTATTGTTCCTAGAGCTCAGTATATTATCTTTCCTTCATGGCTGCTCATGCCTCCAGCCCAATTCTGAGATCGGTTTGACCCAACGACTCGGATCCGCTGCAGATAATGAAATAAAATGATCATTTTAATGTAAACTTCCATTTGGGATTAACTGGCTTACAACTAGCACAGTTTGTGTTGTGGAGTGTGTGTTTGTGGTGAAAACCATCAAGACCTGTGAAGCTAATGTGAAGCTAATCATGTTCTAAATAACTAGTTTCCCGGCTGAGTAAAAGGAAATGTAAAATTAGACGAGCTGACACTCAAGAAAACCTGTCAACACTGGGCACAGTCCTGTTGACAGGGTTAAATAGTGTCCACAAAAATATTTAAGAACCATTTCAAACCATGAATCTTCAATAACCAAATTGTATTTAAACACAGCTGAAATGTGTGGCACTTTCTGCATATGAACGTATGTAAACTGATTTACTGGGCGCGGTTAGCGTTAGCCATGTTAGCACCAGCAGCCTTTTGCAAATTAATGTCCACACGCTTGGGCTAACTGTGGATACACATTGTTCTGGTGGTGTGGTAATATGCCAGTTTAGTTTGACTTACGTACAATCTTATTTTCATTTCCTAGATCAAAACCAAATCGCACTTTTGTCTGACTTTCCATCCTGCCGGTTTACAGCATCCGATAATTAGCATGGCTAATTGCGGCTAGCTGGTGTAGAATATGAATAAAATATTAATCAATAATTTAACCATGTAGCGCTTCTTGTGCTGATTGCCGCTCATTTGGTGTGATTGGATCGGTAGTAGGTTAAGTGATTACTAATGTTCGCCAACAATTAGCTGCTTTTTGTTTTGGTGGCTGGAATCTGACCTGAATAAAGAAAGCTTTTATTCTGCCCGACTATGCAATACATCAAATATATTTTACCAGTAATATAATTTGAATTAATTAGCTAGTTATTCAATAATAAAATTGCATCATAGATTGACTGAATTAAGTGAGATAGTGTTATAGTAAAAGCAAAAACCACATTCTGACCAGTAACTAGTGCTAATATACCAGAAATATTATGGGAGATCTATTTAGTCCTACCATGTTACAAGCAGTAAATAAACAAGAAACAGCAACGTAATAGGAACAAACGCCTGGATATGGACTTCCATTCCTTTATCCAGATGTACAATCACATCTGGCTCCAGCCTTGGATTCTCTGTGAACGTCTTCACAGTGTTTTCCGCTGATTTCAAATCAATATTTTTCAATTATTGAGTCATGAACGCCTGTCAAGCAGCCATTTATAATGCAGGACAAGCGATACAATCCTTCATGCGGCTCATCTGTTATATTATTCATGGTGATCGTCTTGACCTCGCCTTCATCCCCCGTCTGTTAACGCCTATTGGGTGATAATGACCGGCATGTAATACATATTTAAATACATCATGTGAATGTAAATTGTCTTTTCCAGGTGAAGTGCGTGCGCTACTGGCCCGATGAGACGGAGGTGTACGGAGACATCAAGGTGACCCTGATAGAGACCGAACCACTGGCGGAATACGTCATACGGACGTTCACCGTCCAAAAGGTAAACGGGGCAGAACCGGGCCACCGAAAACGTGCAGCTGTCGGTTCCTTTGTGTTTGTCACCATTAATATGCTGTGAATCTGTCTAAGAGAATATTTCCCACAAGGCTTCAGATGGGATTTCGACACTCTCACGGTCTCTAGCTGCACATTTTTTTTTTACCCTGGTTGTTGCATATTACTTATCGCTTCAGTATTTTGTAAACCCTAAAACCTGGATTACCATCACAGCCCGATGTGTGATTGGGGATTTGAGGCGAGCGAGCGGCGTCACTTTGTTTGTTTCTCGTTGTTTAAGAGGAGACTTGGAAGCGTAATCGCGGCCCTTGTAATCAGGCGAAGGGGGAAAAGTGGAGGAATTTACCGACATTGTTGTGATGCTATTCTCTGAGGCTCTGCAGCAGCGAATGGAAAGGAAGCAGCAGAAACGCACATCGCAGCGAGAGACAAAGGCTCTGATCCAAATCCTTGATTTTCTGAACTCGTCTTGTCTCTCATTTTCTGTGACTTTTCTTCACTTTGTTATATCCATTGTTGCTGTTTTTTTCCCCCCATTTCCCGGTACTTTCTACTTTCTACTTTCTACTTTCTTGTCTGTTTGTGCAGCACTGTTGAAAGTAAACTCTGC